CGCGAGGCGGGGGACCTGAGCAAGTCTCACTGATACCACAAGACACTCCCACTTTTCTCGCCTAGAAGCATGCTCCCCCCACCCACCAGAGGGTCAAGGACCAGAGACTCGGCTGTAGAGCCACCGTTGAGATGCGTTTTCCTAAGCCAAGCTGAGATCAACCGAGAGCACTGGTCAAGACTGACTCCGATGAGCGTGGTAGAGAACTCCTGCGATAGTATAAATTTAATTAATCGGTAACATATAAGAATAGATAGTGGTGGCAGATTTTTCATCTTATGCCCCCCAAGGGACAAGTTTTTCCCTGCATATAAACACCAACCTCTAGATAATCTAGTACTCTAAGATGTCACTTTCTACTTTTACGCAGGCTAAGAAGCATAAAGTTGGTGGGCTGTAGCATCTAGGGGCCAGATTATCAAAAGGCCAGTCCAAATCCCAAAACCCAGAATAATCAATTTCTGAGTTTGGAATAAGAATTAGAATATTTCTGATATTAGAGTCATCAGAAATATTAGCGGTAGAACCGGTAAGGTATACCGAGACTCCCGCGTGTGAGAGAAACACCCAAGTAATTTCTGAGTCTAGTGAAAACACAAATAAAGACTCAGTTCGGTTCTCTCAGATTATGGACGTTTCCTAGCTGAGATAATCGTACTTGAGAAGAGGTCGATTGTATCCTATTGTCGTACCTTTCCAGCTACTCTACATGCTCTACAGCCGATTATAGCTACCAGGGAGTATAACCATGTAGGTTTGCCAACCGCCGCAGAACCGTGACGTAGGAACGTCGATGTAGTATTCTGTATGATATATTGTTGCTGCTGAAGATGGGCAAGAAAGGTGTCCCACTGGCAGCACAAGGTTGGAGGAGCGATAATTACGAGTAGTGAGCCAGCTTTGGTGTTATCGTCTATCATTTCAAGAATATCTGTCCGTTTAGGGTTAGTATAGTTTTTTTTCGGGGATAAAATCGACATGTCGCCAATCCAGTGAGATACCCGTGCCATCAACGAAGACATACTTGGGGAGTTGATTTGTATGTTTAGAGACACATGTGTCAATTGTTGAGTTGTAGTTCAGTGGCTGCATAGCTACCTGAAATAAGTTTCTGTGTGACGTGTATGGTGGAAGGTGAGTGAGTGTAACATTGTCACGTTTCGCCATTCTAATAATCGTCTTCTTGTTGCGGTGACCACTAGCGTTCTTGGAGAGTTTTGACCTGTGGATCAGTGAGAAGATTTGTAGTGCCAAATAGTGAATAAAATAGCTGCCATGTACTCGTGGTAGAATTGGGGTCGCTTCTAAACGGCGGAGATGGCATGTCTTCTGGTCGCCGGGAAGGGTAGTGGAACAAGCAGCGTCCTGGAGGTTGTTTTGGTCAAATATGTCTTATGCAATTGTAGGATCCAGATATGTCAGTCCAAGTAGGGGCAGTTGACCACGGCAAGATATGTGTGTAATTCTGATATCGGCTAATCTAAGTGGAAAATGGCCATGTTCTATGTTGGTAAGGAGTGGCTTAGCAGATTCTGGCCAGTAATTCGCTGTCGCGCCGTTGTCGTTGAGGAGTGAGTCGTCAGGAGGAGAATTAGTAGTGGCTCTTGCTACAGGGATAGCTACACGAGTAATAAAGGGAACTGTGTAAGGAAAATCATTTTTATTTACGCATTTTGAGCAAACTATCTCATTATGATCTTTACGGTCACAGTTGGTGCATGTGAGGGAAGAGCTTAGACAGTCTCTGTCAATCGCGACCTGTGTGTGTCTTGTTGTCACATGTTTTGCCATATCCTATAGGACAAATAGAGGAAGTGTGATCCGAGCGTCAACAGACAGCATTTGAGTTGGCGGGAGGTTCAGTGCGGGATGTACGGACTTCCGCAATCATACGAACCAGATCGGCGATTGTACCGTCAGTGGTCAGTGTGACATCAGCAACAGAGCCAAGGTATTGTTGTGGAATAGGTGATGTAAACGTTTTCGTCCACTTTCAATGCTTGCGATTTGGTACTTGGGTAAGGTCAACATTTGAACATGGGTCTGCTGAGCTACTGGAAGATCATCGATGAACAAGTTCTGGGCCACTACGAGGCCGTAGATAGTACCTTGAGTCTTCGCAGTGTGAATGAGTTCCTCACAGCGGTGAGATCAGTCTCTGAGGGACTCATTCGGGTCACGTGTGAAGGCACGTAGATAGTTGATGTCAGCCTTGACGGCATCAATGAAGTTCTTGGTCTGAACGATCTTATTCTGTGCAGTAGTACGTTGTTGCGCGGAAGTCTCCATGATGCCAGCGAATTTTTGGTCGAGATGAGGTTGGGGATGGGTTTAAACTTGGTAAAATAAAAGAACAGGAGAAAGGTCCATATCATCGTATTGTGACGCAACGGCCATGCCTAGGTCGGCGTCTCATTCATATATATTAGATCCATCGGGCGCAAGGAGAGTCCAGGCCTCAACGGCGAATTTGGAAGAGCGTGATTTGGATAGCATATTGAATCGATATGTTGATTATGACTAGTAAGTGACTATTTGGAATAATTGTTCATAACATATAGAGACCCGTCAAAAGGATTATATCAACGATTAAACTTTATTACCATCTCTGTACAAGGCTTATATTGAACACCTGAATTAAGAGACCGGCCAGGAATATTTGAGCCATGCTGATCTTGTGTAACCCTAGTTTGAAGTATAAACCATGAACAGTAAAACCTAGTTAGGGATCAACTTTATGAGATAGCGGCGGAGATAGCGGAGCAAATTTCCAAAACTCCGAGTCTAGAGAGAGTCTAGACTCTACTCTAGAGAGACTCTCTCTCTAGTAGAGTACAGTCCAGACCCAGACCCACACTGGCACACTCTCACTGTCTCACAGACTCACAGTCACATCACCACAGTCCCACGGGCGGCGGGCCCACACGCTCCACAGTCCACACTTCCACACTCCCACAGCCCCACAAGCCACAGGCCACGGGCACACAGGCCACAGGCCACAGGCCACAGGCCACAGGCCACAGGCCACAGGCCACAGGCCACAGTCCTACACTCCACTGAGTCCACACTCCACACTCCACACTGTCCCATAGCCTACAGCCCTACACTTCTTACTAGTAGTCCTTACAGTCCACTTACACTCCACAAGACGTCACACAGTCACAGTGTCAAAGAGAATAAGTTTCCTTGGTTGGGTTTATAACCCTAAACCAAGCTTATCTCAGCCCTCCCACAAGGCGACCACGTTTCCCAGTATGTATTACTTAATATGTATGTATTCTGGGTATCACAATAATGCTTATGCTGTACTGGTACTGACACTATGCTTGTACATTCTCCTGGTGGTAATATAGACGTCTGGTGGGTCGTCTTTAACTTCTATCAAAGCCAAACACGAATTTGACCAGACATTTGGGCCCAATTATGCAACTCAATATAATGGCCATTTTTGATGAAAATGTCCTTTTTGTAAAAATTGACTTTATTGACCATTAATGCAAAAATGGCTCCTGCATATCAAAATAAATCAAATAAATCCCATTGTTTTAAAATCGTCATTATTCAGGATTATATTTCCTATATTTGATAATATACTTGAAGCAGCTTATCAGAAAGATAAAGGCCACTAATTGACAAAACGTACGAAAAAGCCATCGAAAGCGTACAACAATTTGAGTGGTCCTTATAAACGTATGAAATCTGTGACGGGAAATCACACAAAATATAAAAACACAAACAAGAACGCCAGCGTAGCAGACACTATGAGTTGTGACAGAGACTCTGCTATTAAAGCGGCAGTAGCTGTGATATCTACAGCGGTCACGCAAACGCTAGTAGGAACTTTAATGGCCACGCTCGATATTGTTATGCAGGATTCCGATGAGAATCAACAGCTCAATCCCGATCATACCAAAGGCGCGAGATTACTCACCGAAATCATAAAGAGTGAGAATTATTGTTGTCATCTGAGATGTCTACGTATGCTATTGCATGTATTCGTGAAGTTAATTGAAACCTTAGAGCCTTTCCACGTACGTGATGGTCGGTCAGACGTTCTCTCGCCAGGAATGGTTTACTTTCTACTATCGTTTGCAGTTCATGGATGTAGTCAAGTGAAAGTAGGGATAGATACCGGACGGAGCCAGAATACTGTTCATATACGTATATTGCAAGTGATACACGTCATTATATAATATAATGATGCCGACATGTAGAGTATAGAGTTTGTATATGTGGCCGTCTGTAAGCCACCTCTTCACATTTTTATCCGTTTGCGGAATGTATTTGTGAGGTACAAAATTGGCTTTAGCGTGCCTCATTTGTCTGATATTAATTTCATTTGCAGGTTCTGTGACTGTGGAGCCTGGTAGGTTTCAATGTACGTCAGGAGGTATATTCGCGTTGGTATCTAAGGGGTCTGCAAGTGACTCTTAGAAACCTTCTTGTTCATGCTCAGGGTCCTCTTCTTGTGGTGTGAGGATTGATTCCCATTTTGCATCTGTTGGTATAATCAGATTGATTAATCCAGCTATGTATATATCTATGTATGGTAGAATATCCAAACCGAGCAGTATTGGTGCCTTCTTGTCTGGTAGGTTTAATACTTCAAAGCACTGCGAGGTTTTCCTTCCTCCGTAATTAATGTCACATACTTCTGTTGACCCTGTCCTTTGTATTCTAGCATCTGTTTGTGCTAATTGTATGTAACCCGGTTGCGCTCTGACGAAGAGATATAGTTCTGATACTTCACTCTTGTCCATACATGAGCGTTGTGCGCACGAGCCTACCAGTGCATTGTATGAATTGCCATTAATTGTATGTCAATGTGTAGTCGTTGGTCTCGTGATGCGAGAAGTAAGACAAAGGCTAGTATTTTATATCATTTGTATTTATTAACAACATTTTTTCATCTGTATATACATTGAGCCTATCAGCCAGGTCAACCAAATTTGCTACCGCCCACCAGTTGTCTCAGTGCTCATCACTGTCTGTAATGTCATCTACCTTGCCGGAGATATGGACAATCTTGCTACCTCCGTATCGCTTTGGACACGCTCCTCGGCCTGTTTGGCCTGGTTTGATGCCTTCGGGGGGCATTGACTGAATCGATGTGGGGCTGGCATCACCTTACAATAAGGATATGCACGCTCTTTGCGCGCCCTTTTCTTCTCTCGGGCTTGTCCTATTGGCTTGGTTTGTTTGGGTGCACCGTTGTACGGTTTATGTCGATTGTTCGTAGCAGTAGGGCTATTCTGAGCCTTGTTGTGGATAGTTGTATGTGTATTGTGTCGCTTGCGCTGCTCTCTTATCTGCTCTCTTAGCAACTGATCTCCTTGCACTTTTGCTGCCGCTCTTATGCTTGCTCCAGTCATAGAGTGAAACACAGTGTGTTGCATATCCGATAAGTGACCCTCACTTCCATCAAGACGTTTGTCGGCCCCGATGAGAGTATCCACCTTCTTTTGTTGTCCATGGTGCGTAAGTGCTTGGTATCTTTGGACCTCGAGAATTTGTAAGTGCATAGGCTCTTTGCTGAGTTGCGGTAACGCTCCTCTAAGATCTGAATTATCTTATGTGCTCGTTCAGTGCGCACTTCGACGTTTAGTCTCTTGTTCTGTATGTCATTGAGAAACTTCTCAAACCGATAGTCTACTGGGTGGTGTCGGAGTCTGTCAATAATGATTCTATTAAATTGCTCAGGATCCTGGAAGTGTTTGGTTATTTATGTTCCAGAGTTTCTCAACTCTTTGAGCACTGCTTTGGTCTTCTCTGTTGCATCAGTAGAATGGAATAGATTTCTCACTAGTGCTGGATACTAACATAGTGGTATTGGCCAAGAATAAGCCTCTGCATTGCGTTGTGGATTTTATTATGTCTTTACAGTTCTCCATCTTGAAGTAACTATCTCTAGTTAGGGATAATATTATTTATTTCAAAAATGGCAAGTATGTATGATACAATGTATGAACATATGGTATGGCTCTCATAGTCGCTGTAGTGGTTCAGGAAAGATTGATGGGAAGAAGTGGTCAATAAATTCCCGTTTGAAGCTTGGGCCAAGTGAGTCGACAATGGAAGATATGTACTGAGTCAATTCGGGCCGGTGTTAACAAAACACTGTTACTATCGAATGTTCCATATATTCGCTTGATGACCTACTAAGTAGAGTACCC